GGTTAGGATATACAGTAAGTTCCTCTGGCAGTATGTTCTTCAAGCAGATGTAAACAAGACTAAATGTAAAGTGTGTGGCCAGACATATGGCCACACACTTGAACACTACGTCCTCGACTGTGTGAAGATAGAACCTTTTAGGGACAGGTCCAAGCACACTGTGTGTGAAATGGCACAACACTTCATCTCTAATGGCAAGATAGCAGACATATTAAGATTGTATCCACTTTTTTGCACTAAGTAACTATATTAGTTCTCATGCACAGAACCAAATACACTATGTGCTTGAATACTTCTCACGCAAATGTGAATAACAAAGTGTGCGGCCAGACATACTGCCTCACACGCCTGTACTCACGCAGTTGTGAATAAGTTACCCTTTATGTATAGAACTAAACAAATAATGTATTTTAAATACTGTGTAACATTCAGTGCCATAATATCCTGACCACGGGGGTTAATTATTATGACCCGTTGTAAATTCTACTCTGTAATCCTTTTGCGCTACCGCTCACAGATGAGTATGGGGTGCACAATAAACTAGCCGCTGTAATCGGCAAAATTCAAAAATTCAAAATTCAGCTTCCACCACCACCACCCTCTTCAACACTTGCCACTTCCACCTCCACCAGCGCCCACCTCCACTACCACCAGTCAATACCACCGCCCACCTCCACTACCACCAGTCAATACCACCGCCCACCTTCGCCACAGCCCACCACCACCGCCCCACCTAGCTTCACATTCTTCAACACTTGCCACTTCCCACCGCCCACCTCCACCACTGCCCCAGGCAGTTTACCACCGTGAAATGTCACTTACAGTTCCACACTTTCTTTTCTCAAACTTTTTTCTTTTATTGAAGGAGAAATATGAAAGATTTTGATATTCTTTCCAATGGACGAGGCGGCCTTCCTTCCTTCCCTATGGTGAGGGTGTTGTGTTGTATTGTGTGGCGGAGGAAGGGTGAAGGTGAAGGATCAGTGTGAAGGGTGAGGGTGATGTGGCTAGTGTGAGGGTGAAGGATCAGTGTGAAGGGTGAGGGTGATGTGGTTAGTGTGAGGGTGAAGGATCAGTGTGAAGGGTGAGGGTGATGTGGTTAGTGTGAGGGTGAAGGATCAGTGTAAAGGGTGAGGGTGATGTGGTTAGTGTGAGGGTGAAGGATCAGTGTAAAGGGTGGGGGTGATGTGGTTAGTGTGTGGGTGAAGGATCAGTGTGAAGGGTGAGGGTGATGTGGTTAGTGTGAGGGTGAAGGATCAGTGTAAAGGGTGGGGGTGATGTGGTTAGTGTGAGGGTGAAGGATGAGTGTGAAGGGTGAGGGTGATGTGGTTAGTGTGAGGGTGGAGAGTGACTGAGGGTGAAGGGTGAGCACCTCCCTGAGCCACGTACTATATGACACACACTCAATGAATACCAAGTGTTATTGAATGTGATTCTCTCTAGTTCGGCACAGAGTTCCTGTATGACGCCGGGTTACAACTTTGTCTAGTAAGTGTGTTTGGTGTAGTGGAGGTGACGGCTCTGTGCCACCCGAGGGAGGGTTGGATGCATGGAGGGAGGGGTGGATGGATGGAGAAGGAAGCAAGGGGTGGATGGATGGATGGAGGGAGAAGGGAAGGCTGGATGGAGGGTGAGGGGAGATGTGGATGGATAGAGGGAGAAGGGAGGGCTAGATGGATGGAGGGTAAAAGGAGGGGTGGATGGAGGGTGAATGGAGGGAGGGTGAAAGGAGGGGTGGGTGGTGGGAGGGGAAAGGTAGGAATGGACGGATGAAGAGAAGGGAGGATGGAAGAAGGCGGAAACAAGTATTGAAGGATGGAGGGAGGTTCAAACATCATACTCAAGGGGTTAAAACACCATACATATTTAAGGAGCTAAAACATCATACTCAAGGGGTTCAAACATCGTACTCAAGGGGTTAAAACATCATACTCAAGGGGTTCAAACATCGTACTCAATGGGTTAAAACACCATACATATTTAAAGGAGCTAAAACATCATACTCAAGGGGTTAAAACACCATACATATTTAAGGAGCTAAAACATCATACTCAAGGGGTTCAAACATCGTACTCAAGGGGTTAAAACATCATACTCAAGGGGTTCAAACATCGTACTCATGGGGCTGAAGACTACGCGAGACTACACTAGCTGTTATATATAATAAGAACTTGGCCAAATGAAAACGTGTTTGTCAATCGTCCACGGCACAGATCACCGCGGGGCAGGTAACTCACGTGATGGTCGAGGCAGTAACATTGACAGAGAGATTTATGTTGTCTGAATGTATGGTCTAATATATTTATACATCTGGAGTGGTGGTGATGTTATGCTGGGAGCCACGACTTAGCCAGTGGTGAGGAGGAGGATTAATAGTGGGATAAGGATAGTAGTACCTAACCTAACCTAAGCTAACCTAACCGTAGGGAAGAGCCAGGGTATATAAATTGTCTAGTAGAACCACGGGATAGAACCAAAGTACACAGGTTGCGTGCCTCCGAGTGCCAGGTCACGGCCACGAAATTACCTGTGAGAGAGAATGGGAGAGAGGAGGAAAGGGAGAGAAAATGAAAGGTAGGGAGGGAGAAAAGAAATGCAGGGGAGAGAGAGAGAGAGAGAGAGAGAGAACTATATAAACATAAATATAAATTATATATATATATATATATATATATATATATATATATATATATATATATATATATATATATATATATATATATATATATCTATCGAAGTGTAATAATGTTTATTATATAACCTGGATCCATGTTTTTAATTAATTACACCACAATCGACCGATATATACAGTACATTAGTATGGGACGTTATCGGATATCGGAAATTCTTTCTCTCTTTCTCTTCTAACTCACTCTTCTCTTTCTACACACACACACACACACACACACACACACACACACACACACACACACACTATATTACGTTTCCTCTCTAGATAATGACCCCTTCCTGACCAGATATCCCTCCTCCTAGTGACAGGCCTGGCACTTGACATTATGAGGGACCTGCCACACTTTGCCATAAACAGATGAATTGTACCGGGAACTTTCCCCCCACACACACTCATCATTCTGCCACTTTATGTAACTTGACAGAACCTATGACCCTTCAGGCTTCTACGCCCTTAATGCATGATTCATAAAGGCAAGCATGAACTTAGCATGCTTCCCAGATGGGCGCTGTAAGCGCTTCTGCGCTTCACCTTGCACAGGATGTAAGGGGGTGCCCAATAAACTAGTCCCCTCGGGGACAATCTAAAAAAAAAATCGAAAATCTAGATATTGAATATGATATAACTAAGATGATGCTTAATAAGGACACCATTAATGATGTACTTAATAAGGACACCATTACACAAAAAGGACACCTGCGCGTATTAATAACCTGCACGTAATATAGACACCTGCACGTAATTAAGTCACCTGCACGTAATAAGGACACCTGCACCTAATAGTCACCTGCACCTAATAAGAACACCTGCACGTAACAAGGACACTTGCACGCAATAAGGACACCTGCTCGTAATAGTCACCTGCACGTAAGTCACCTGCACGTAATAGTAACCTGTACGTAATAAGGACACCTATATGTAATAAGGACACATGTACGTAATAAAGTAACCTGCACGTAATAAGGGCACCTGAACCTAATAAGGAAACCTGTACGTAATAACTACTCCTGCACGTAATAAAGTCACCTCACGTAATAAATTCACCTGCACGTAATAAGGACACCTGCAAGTAATAAAGGCACCTGCACGTAATAAAGGCACCTGCACGTAATAAAGGCACCTGCACGTAATAAGGATAGTTATACATAATAAAGCCACCTGTACGTAATAAGGACACCTGTACGTAATAAGGACACTTATATGTATTAAAGCAAGCTGATTGGTATACTGAACACCAATCAAAATGCGCCAAAATCTACACTGATCTCATCAATAAGTTGCATTAGTTTAGGTTAGGTAGAGCTTGGTTAGATAAAGCTGGGTTAGGTTGGGGTAGGTTAGGTAAGGCTAGATTAGGTTTGGTTAGGGTAGATTAGGCTACCTTAGGTTAGGTTAGGTGAGGTGAGGGGTTAGGTTAGATTAAATAAGTTAAGGTTAGGAAAGAGTCTCCTCCTAAGGCTGGGGTCCACGGCTCATAGGTCACACCGCCGCCTCTCATATTGACTCAACTGGACGACGAGGAAAATGTATTTTAGTGAGTCACAAATGACCTTCTCGATTCAAACAAAACTTATGGAGAAGTTTGAGAAGAACACACAGTAAACTTTAGCAATTTTTGGGGGGCAGCTAAGTCTTCGTCTCCCCTCCCTCGGGCCCCCATACTCTCCCTGCCTCCACTTTTCTCAGTCCCCATATTCTCCCTCTCCCTTCTCGTTCCTTCTCATAGCCTCCCATACTTTCCCTGTCTTCCCCCCCTCTCACAGCAACCATACTCCCCATGTCTCTCCTCACAGACTCCCATACTCTCCCTGACACTTCCCCCCCTCTCTCACAGCCTCGTATTCTCCCTCTCCCTTTGTCCTTCCCTCTTAAAACCTTCATACTCTCCCCGACTCCTCCCTCTCACAGCCCTCATACTCTCCCCTCTCCCCTCCAAAAATCTCTTTCTCCCTAAATATAAATATCGATGTACTGTTTGTTAAGACTGAGTAAAGCTAATGTTGTCGTGGTGGTGGTGAGTGACGACCTCCCTCACACATCTTGGTGGTGGTGAGTGACGACTTCCCTCACACACCTTTTGTAGTGGTGAGTGACGACCTCCCTCACACATCTTGGTGGTGGTGAGTGACGACTTCCCTCACACACCTTTTGTAGTGGTGAGTGACGACCTCCCTCACACATCGTGGTGGTGGTGAGTGACGCCGGCGCGATGTTTCTAATCTGGGCAGGAAGTCAATTATGTAATGGGTGGTGGCCTCACCTGCACCGCCGTACAGAACCTTGTAGTGTTGGTGAGGGGCGACTGTACATGACCCGCCACCAGCCAGCCAACCAGCCTCCCCCCTCACGAGAATGGTGACCCCTCAACCAGTGTCTCTGCCTTGTCGCCGTGGGAGCTACCTACCAGTGGCTGAACTCGTGTATTAGTGAGAAATTGATCCATAGAGTTGAAAATTTTGGGTGTAGGAACCGAAGAACGTTGAGCCAGGCAGGGCAAGTCTAGTGGCTGAAGGAGGGAAGTCATCTTGAGTGTCACCGCGAATGTCAAGTCTTCGAAGAGTTTTAGGTAAGTTTGTGTATATTTCGTGACTTTGTAGTTATTCTCGTATACGTTCGAGTACGATAAACTATTACCTCAAGTGCGATGTTTCTGTACTCGAGGGTTTAAATTATCGTACTGAAGGTATTAAGTCATCGTACTCAAGGGGTTAAACATATTCATACCCAGGTTGGCCGACCAGCCTCGAGGGGCAGCCATTGTATTATTAGTATTGTTGTAACACCAGTAGTTGTTATACCTAACTCGTTTTCTTCAGCCCATCTTAACTGTCTGTATTCTCTGCCATCCTCCTCGCTCACCAAGTACACCGTGGTGAAAGGGAGGGCTGTGGAGGGAAGGTAGGGGAGGGTGAGGGCTGTGGAGGGAAGGTAGGGGAGGGTGAGGGCTGTGGAGGGAAGGTAGGGGAGGGCGAGGGCTGTGGAGGTAAGGTAGGGGAGGGGTGAGGGTTGTGGAGGGAAGGTAGGATAAGAGGCTGGGGAGGGAAGGTAGGGGAGGGCGAGGGCTGTGGGGAGGGAAGGTAGGGGAGGGTAAGGGCTGTGAGGGAAGGGGAGGGAGGGTCAGGAGGGGCTGTAGGGAGGGTGAGGGGCCTGGAGGGAAGGTAGGGGAGGGTGAGGGGCTGTGGAGGGAAGGTGGGGGAGGGGTGAGGCTGTGGGAGGGAAGGTTGGGGGAGGGTGAAGGCCGGAGGGCTGGGTAGGGGAGGGTGAGGCTGTGGAGGGAAGGGGTAGGGGAGGGTGAGGGCTGGGGAGGGAAGGTTGTAGGTGAGGCCGTGAGGGAAGGTAGGGGTGGTGAGGCCGGAGGAAGGTAGGGGAGGGTGAGGCCGTGGAGGAAGGTAGGGGAGGGGAGGGCCGGGAGGAAGGTAGAGGGAGAGGCCGAGGAAGGTAGGGAGGGTGAGGGCCGGGAGGGAAGGGGAGGGTGAGGGTCAGGATCAGCTGTAGGGGAGGGTGGGAGACCGGAGGGAAGGTAAGGGAGGGTGAGGGCTGTGGAGGGGCAGAGTGCAGGGCCAGGAGGATGGTAGGGAGGGTGGGAGGCTGGGGAGGGAAGGGGAGGGTGAGGGCCGTGGAGGAAGGTAGGGGAGGGTGAGGGCTGTGAGGGAAGGTAGGGGAGGTGAGGGCCGAGGGATGGTAGGGGAGGTGAGGGCTGTGGAGGGAAGGTAGGGGAGGGTGGAGGGCCGAGGGAAGGTAGGGGAGGGTGAGGCTGTGGAGGGATGGTAGGGAGGGTGAGGGCCGTGGAGGGAACATTACTATATGCGCGGCAAAGCCATTAATAAATAATGACCCATTTTAGCGGGAGGTTTCTCAAAAATAAAAACATCACCATCCTATCATGCCAAATTATCACCACACTGTCACCACCGGACCGCCTCCAGACCGCCACCACTACCACCGGACCGCCACCAGACCGCCACTACTACCACCGGACCGCCTCCAGACCGCCACCACTACCACCGGACCGCCACCAGACCGCCACTACTACCACCGGACCGCCTCCAGACCGCCACCACTACCTCCATCACATCACACCACGTGGCTGCCACCTAACAAGACGAGATTGAATCGGTGTAGGGGGTGAGTGTATGGTGATGCAGGTAATGACATTCACCAGTAACATGCTGCTGGAGGAGGGTGACACGTGTGGCCTGGTGACACGTGTTGCCTGGCGACACGTGTTGCCTGGCGACACGTGTTGCCTGGCGACGCATGTTACATAAGAACATAAGAAAATAAGGAGTCTGCAATAGGCCGGTTGGCCTGTGCATGGCAGGTCCTGTCGAGAGCTACTACCACTCCATCATCCATGAATCTATCTAGCCTCCTTTTGAAACTTTCCAGAGTTCCCGCACTTACTACAAAGTTGCTAAGCTTGTTCCTGTTGCCTGGCGACGCATGTTGCCTGGCGACGCATGTGGCCTGGCGACGCATGTGGCCTGGCGACGCATGTGGCCTGGTGACGCGTGTGGCCTGGTGACGCGTGTGGCCTGGTGGCACGTGTGGCCTGGTGGCACGTGTGGCCTGGCGACGCATGTTGCCTGGCGACGCATGTTGCCTGGAGACGCATGTGGCCTGGCGACACGTGTGGCCTGGCGACACGTGTGGCCTGGCGACGCATATCATCTGGTGACGCATGTGGCCTATTGATACATTCCACCTGGTGACACATATTACCTGGAGAAGAACCTGACCTGACACTTCTGACCCAGGACCTTGACCTGACCTCCAGCACAGTGTACAGAGAGAAGGTGTCTCCAAATGAGCCACTGGACGTAACATTAACACGTATGGTGGGAGACACGAGTCACTTAAAGTTTAGGTTTGGTTAGGTTGAGCTGGGCTGGGTTTAGTTGGGTTGGGTTAGTTTAGGTTAGGTTGGGTTGGGTTAGATTAGATTAAGTTGGATTAGATTAGGATAGGTTAGTTTAGATTAGATTAAATTGGATTAGATTAGGACAGGTTAGTTTAGATTAGATTGGGTTATTTTTACATTAGGTTGGGTTAGTTTAGATTAGGATGGGTTAGGTTAGGTTAGGTCTTTAATAATCAGGTGGGATAAGCTAGGGTGTGTAATCAGGTGAGCCGAATACACCTACAGGAGAGGGAGGGAGCTGCATATTACCATCGTGTTGTAAAGTCATGTGGTTGTCTGTCTGTCTGTCTGTTGTGGTGTAGACAACATGAAGGTTCTGCCCTAGTTAGTCTGGGGATGGAGGAGGAGAGGGTGAGAAGGCAGGCAGGCAGTCAGGACCTTCAATCATTGTCTGTCAAGAGTCTTGTTGCTATGTAATTGATTCGTTTCTTTAGTCTTCAGTACGACACGGTCCCCTCCCCTCCTTTCCCTTCCCTTCCCAGATACTGCCAAGTGTCCAGGGAATTATGTCCGCAAGTACTCATACAAAGAGGTGGAAAAATGATGCCAGGATTTGTAAAGGCTTTTATTTATCGTTTTTGTTGACACTCTTGTTGTATATGAAGATACTGGGTGAGGAGAGTAGAGGCTCAATGTGGGGTTGGAGGGGAAACTGTTAAATTGGTTAAAGGTGTTGTTTAATGGGCAGGGAACAGATGGACGGCTTTAACGGTACACAATCCGATTGGGAACAAGGGAACACTCTTATCAACTGAACAACGTAGATAGAGAGATATTAAATTGTGAAAAAGATTTAGGGGTAATGATAAGTACAGGAACCTTAAACCATGTCAGTAATGCGTATATACTCGAAACAAGACTAACAAGGAGCTTAGGGTCATGTCAAGGAGTGTTAGTTACAAGACAAGTGTATGTGAAACCTCAATTAGATTGTGCGGTTCAGTTGTGGCCACCGTACTATAAAATGGCTACTCATACCTTACAAAGCATTCGGAAGGGGGTGAGAAAGATAATCCCGGGTATTAGGAACCTTGAGTATAGAGACAGATTACGTGGAAGATGGAGCTAAGTAGAGGTGATATAACTAAGGTATTTAAACTATTAAATCAGAAGCGAATACGTAGCGAGGGGTTTTAAATTAGACATTTTGATTTGGCATTAATTTGGTAAATATTGATTGATTGGAGTAAGTTACCGAACACCAACATTAAATCGAACACTCTGGGAAGCTTCAAATATAGGTTGTTCTGATATATGAGCTGTGTTAAAGGCTGGGTTTAAACAGTGCTACCAATAGACCGACAGCAGTTTCTTTCGTTATTGTTTCTTCCGGTGTGCTGTGGGTGTCCATGTTGGTGACGTCATGAGAAATGAAGTTTACATATATTGGCGTAAAAGAACAGGAAGACGCGAGGAGGAATATATATATATATATATATATATATATATATATATATATATATATATATATATATATATATATATATATATATATATATATATATATATATATATATATATATATATATATATATAGGGGAAGGGAGGTGTCTATGGTAGCCACCTGCCACAGTGACCACCTGTACTACCACCACTCCTCTTGTTCACTCCCTGTGTTCCATACTGACTTGACACGATGTCTTTCACCGTGTGTGAGTGCAATACACTCTGCCGCAGATTCCAGGAGGTGGAGTGCGTGTAACACTAACGTTTTGTTTTTTCGGCCATGACACAGTTTTCACACCCACATAGGTTCGTACAGGATATATTCGACCTTCATAAGCCCCGGGTGGTGAACCCATGGGCTTATATGCGTATCCGTTCCAGTAAATGCACCAGAACCATAAACCATAAGATCCAACAAATTCTTCATAATATGTTTTGGAACATAAAAGCGCTGTAAGTGTAACAAGACTGTCACCTACACATGTGTTTTTATCGCCCCCCCTCGCTCCCTCCTCCCGCTCTCTCCCTCATCCCTCCCTCCCCCTTCCCCCCTCTCTCCCTCCTCTCTCCCTCTTCCCCCCTCTCTCTCCCTCCGCCCCCTCTCTCCCCCTCTCTCCCTCCCCTCTCTCCCTCCCCCCTCTCTTTCCCTCCGCCCCCTCTCTCCCTCCGCCCCCTCTCTCCCTCCGCCCCCTCTCTCCTCCGCCCCTCTCTCCGCCCCATCTCCCGCCCCCTCTCTCCTCCTCCCTCTCCCCTCTCTCCCTCACTATTGTTACTATTACTTTAGTATCTGTAACGTCTGAGGACCCCCGCATGTGTAATGACCGCGTCTTTAGGCACAATATAGTGCCCATCGTGTCTGTCGCTCCGTGTCTGCCTGTTTGTCTGTATCTAACCTTACTGATTTACTCATTTCTGATATAGTCATTACAACTTATGGATTAGCATTAGCTAGAGGATATGTGTGTGTGTGTGTGTGTGTGTGTGTGTGAATGAATGTGTTTACGTGTGTGTGTGTTGAGGGTAACTTTACTAGACTGTGAAATAATTGTCTCCAACTCCATGGGAGGTCTTGTTTAGCTTCGTTTAATTCACCTAATTAATTGGGTAAATTACATGTTAATTGGCAAATTCAATTAGGGATCAGATCAGATTCCACTGATGAAGGTCACTATATAAGTGAAGTCAATTAAATACTATAA